TGGTTGGGGTAATTCTGGATGAAGAATCTCGCCGTAAAGTCTTAAGAGTTGAGGTCTCTAGCAGTGGGAGTGCTCTGCATGTCGAGGCATGAGGACGTGCGCAAAAGAAGGGTCACTTTGCACGGTGAAGGGAAGTGCTTCAGATACGCAAAGAATGGTCACTTTGCACGAGCAGAGTTACTGTTCCAGCATCAGCAGGGGATGATCGGGCCGACGGTGCAGCCAATCTCATGCACGAGACGGATTTAGATACGCTTCTCTTATCCCTAGAAGATAAAAGCGATGTGTGGGTCATCGACTCTGGCGCATCTTTCCATGCAACCTCACAACAAAAACTGTTTTCATCGTTCATAAAGAAGGACTTAGGGACAGTCTATCTTGGCAATGATCAATATTGTAAGGTTTTCGGGAAGGAAAATTATACCCTCAAGATGGAGGGCGGGACCACCTTGACGTTGAACGACGTTTGGCATGTATCGAATCTCAGGTGAAATCTTATATCAGTCGAGCAACTGACTGACTCCGATTACAGAATATCCTTCGAGCAGAGAAGCTGGAAGGTATCCAATGGTGCCCTGATGGTGGCACACGGCAAGCGTAAGGGGTCTCTCTACATCGCCAACGGGAAGATCGACCACTTGCTTGTCGCAGGACAAGCATCATCATCATCATTCGTCGACTACATGACTTGGCATCGACGACTTGGTCACATGAGCGAGAAGGGGATGTAGATTATGATCGCGGGAGAGAGGTTTTCGGATCTGAACAAGATCGATCTGACTTTCTATGAGGACTGCATCCTAGGCAAACAAAAGAAGGTGAGCTTCAACAAGATTGGACCGGCTCTAAAACTGTAGAATTTAGAGTTGGTACACACCGACGTGTGGGGAATTGCGCAAGTCCCATCTGTTGGAAATTCTCTTTACTTTGTCACTTTTATTTATGATGTTACTAGAAAATTATGGGTGTTCTTCTTAAAGCACAAATCAGATGTTTTCATCGTCTTCAAAAAGTGGCTTGCCTGTATGGAGAACGAAACAGGTAATAAGTTAAAGTACCTAAAGTCTGATAATGGAGGCGAGTATTGTAGCCAGGAGTTCGAGAACTTCTGCTCGTCCCATGGGATTAGGAGACTGAAGACCGTCCCAGACACACCTTGCGGAGTGGCAGAGCATATGAATCGCACTATCTTAGAGCGCGTCAGAAGTATGAGGATCCACTCCAGATTACCCAAGAGCTTTTGGACCGAAGTTGTTAATACTACTACATACTTGATCAACCGCGGGTCATCCACGGCTCTCAGTTATGGGATACCTGAAGAGGTTTGGACCGAAAATAAGCTGAAGCTAGAGCACTTATGAGTATTTGGTTGTGATGCCTATGTCATGACCAATTCTGCAGACCGGTCAAAGCTTGATCCAAAGTCAAAGAAGCTCTCTTTCATCGGCTATGGAGGAGATGAGTATGGGTACTGTTTCTGGGATCACGATACGCGCAAGGTGGTGCACAGTCGTGATGTCGTGTTCTATGAGAATGCGATGTACAAGACCAAAGAGGTGAGTGAGAGTCAATTATCTCCCCCTCTTTTCCCGGATATTGCTGACAGTGAGGACGACAGTGAGATATCAATCAGCATAGAAGACGGAGACCAAGAGAACGTGCGGGATGCACAACAACAGGATCCAGCAGAGTTGCCGATCGCAATTCGCAAAGCTCCAAGAAATTCAAGGGTGTCAGAGAGGTACCTTTCCATCATGAATTATCTTCTCTTGACTGACAGTGATGAGCCAGAGAGCTATAAGGAGGTACAGCAGACCGGCAAAGCTCGGGACGAATGAGAGTCTGTCATGGAGGAAGAAATGAAGTCATTGATGAAGAATGAGACTTGGGAGCTTGTAAAGCTTCCAAGAGGGCGAAATGCTCTTCACAATCAGTGGATTTATCGGCTCAAGGATGAAACCGATGGACGAAGACGTTCCAAGGCGAGGCTTGTAGTAAAGGGCTATGAGCAGAAAGCAGGGATAGATTATTCTGACGTTTTCGCTCCTGTCATTAAGTTGACCATGATCCGGACTGTACTGAGCATTGTGGCAGTTCGAGATCTCTATCTAGAGCAGATGAATGTGAAGGCGGTATTCTTTCATAGAGATTTGAAGGAAGAGATCTATATACATCAACCAGTGGGCTTCGAGGAACGAGGCAGGGAGGACCTCGTGTGTCGCCTACGCAAGAGCTTGTATGACCTGAAGCAAGCTTCGCGATAGTGGTACATAAAGTTTGAGAACTTTATGGAGGAGAACAGTTTTCTTAAATGTGACACAGACCACTGCTGTTTCATCAAGAGATATGGCGAATCTTATGTGATACTCTTGATTTATGTTGATGACATGTTGATAGCAGGGCCCGACTTAGATCGCATTGAAGAACTCAAGGGGCGTCTCTCCGAGTGCTTCGAGATGAAGGATTTGGGTTTAGCAAACCAGATTCTGGGGATGAGGATCATCAGAGATAGATCAGCACGGAGGCTGAGGTTGTCTCAGAAGGCCTACATTGAGAAGATTTTTGAAAAGTTCAGTATGAAGAAAGCTAAACCAGTGGCCTCGCCATTTGCAAGTCATTTCAAGCTATCGAAGACCCAAGCACTAGAGACTGCTGAAGAGCATGAGTTCATGGCCAACATACAATACGCATCTGTCGTCGGGAGTTTGATGTATGTGATGGTGTGCACGAGGTCAGATATTACATAAGGAGTGGGAGTTGTGAGCTGCTTCATGAGCAATCCAGGGAAACAACACTGGGGTGCGGTCAAGTGGCTTCTACGCTACTTGGGAAGCTCATCCGACCGTTGTCTTGAGTATGGCAGGACAAATTTGCCGCTAGAGGGTTTTTGTGATGCAGACTACGCAGGAGACATAGACTCAAGAAGAAGCCCAAGCGGCTACATCTTCATCTTAGATGGTGGAGCGATAAGTTGAAGATCCAAGTTACAATATACTGTAGCTTTGTCGACAACCGAAGCTGAGTACGTGTTTGTAGCAGAAGCAGCAAAGGAGTTGTTATGGCTGAAAGCTTTTCTTCTCGAGCTTGGGGTAAACTTTGAGAAATACTTCATCCACTGTGACAGTCAGAGTGCTACTCACTTGTCAGAGAACGACGCATTTCATGCTCGGACCAAGCATGTTAACATGAAACACCATGCCATACGGAGATGGCAAAGCAGGAACAAGTTTAACCTTGTGAAGATTGATACGATGTACAATCCAACCGATATGTTGACCAAGCCAGTTTCGCTCGAGAAGGTGAGGCTGTGTGCAGCCTCATATGATCTCCGTTGAGAATGTTGAGGGTCGTGCAAGACGCCAAAGATACAAGATATCCGGATGATGCAACCAAGAATGGTGTGAAGATATGATTGATATTCAATCAAATCTTCAAGTAGGAGATTATTAGCCAGCCATCTCTTTTGACCTAGCCAGCCACCCCCGCCACCTTTTTTTGACAATCAATGATTCAGTGGTCGCAAACGTTGAGGAAATAAATTGGTGGTGGGTCTTACCAATAAAATAGTATTAGTGGCGGGTCCCACTAATAATATTTTATTAGTACATAGTATTTTCCAAATACTATAAATAGGACCCTAAACTCTTTAGAAATACTCACCCCAGAAACAACTCCTCTCATAGAAGAGTAAGAGAGAAAACACAAAGAGATTGTGAGAGTTCTTGGAGTGTATCTGATCAAGAGAGAGTGTTCTCTTTGATCTATTCTATTGGGATATAAAAGAATTTGGCATCGTCGTTACACTGTGGAGTAGCTCTGAAGGAGTGAACCACGTATATCTGTTAGTACTGTGATTGATTTGTGTGTCTTTATTTTGTGTATTACGTCTTCGTTCGAGGTGGGTGTTATTATTGGTGTGTACCCTAACATATAAAACCTTGGTTCATTTTCCATGCCTTGTGCACCATAACCAACCCCATTCAATGGATGGAAGCTTACATGAGGTGAGGATGATGACGAGTCGACAATGATGAATTGCTGAAAGAACAGTAGATTTCTTAAGTCTATATGGCTTCCTTTTGAAATTATTATTATTATTATTTAATTTAGAAATAGCTTCTAGATTGTCAAAAACTAAATGGAAAATTAGGATTCATGTAGTTGTCCCAAAAATTTGTAATGAAGGCTTTGTTGTTGGTGACGTTGGTGTTTTATTATGTCAAAGTTGTATATTAAAAATTCGTGTCTTTCTTGTGCTATTTTTAAACTTAGAGGTATATAATATTCAACTAGAAATTTGTTTTTATTTTTTAAAATAATATCTGAAGCTGACACGAGCATCAAGCTTCGTTTGACTGGTTTGGTTGCTTGATAATCTCCTCCGGTATTGTTGCTTTTTTTTTGGAAAAGGAAAGAAAAATTCATCAAGGACCCAAAATATGGGACCAATAGGGGGAACAAGTGAGGTGTCCCCCTCCTATTGGATAATGAGTTGGCCATCATTAATGATGGTCAACTCATTATCCAATAGGAGAGGGACACCTCACTTGTCCTCCCTATTGGTCCCATATTTTGGGTTCATGTAGCAAAGCTCAAAAGGAAATAGTGGTAAATTATGAAGTTTCACGACAAATGTTCAGTTTGATAGGACGTTTGCATTCCCTTCAAGCTAGTCAAAACATGATTACAACCAAAATTTCAAAATTGGGACTTGGATGTTAAACAAAGATATTCTAATTTTAGTCCACAATATAAGTTACATATAATGCTTTGCTAACACTTTAGTTCACTCGAGAACATAAAATTACATTTGAAACCTGATATTTTCCCCATGAATATCTTTAGAATATCCTTCTGATAGAAACTGGCAAAGAGTTAATTTGCTTTTGGAACTGACAAGCCACATGTATTGATTTATGAGCCACATGTATTGATTGTTCATATCGTAACTATACTAACTATACCAGCTTATTTACCTGGTTTATATTCTTTTTTGTCAGACTTTTCATTGCAGGCATGGGAAGGCTTATCTCTTTAATAAGGTGTAAGTTTTTCAACTCTTTTCTTTTGCAAGTTAAATTTTGGAGTATATTGTTTTCTCCTCTTCTAATGAAGGAAAAAGACTAAGAATTTCAGCCATTAGCATGTATTCATGTATACCAGTTACAAAGCTTTATTTTGTTTCATTTTTTAAGGTTATTATTTGCACTTGAACAGGAACTTCAACAACCCCACTTCCATCCCCTTTGTCATGTGAGTTGGGGTTGGGACGTGTCTGTTTTTCTATCCAGTTGCAAAATGCTTTATGCCTTTATAGTTTGGAGTTCAAGTATTTTAACTCTGCATCTCTTCAGAAAAAATGAAATGTCAAGTGTGAACCATCACAAACTGCAAAATCCCTGCATTACGAGGTGATAATGTTGTACACAACAGAAATAGGGATCCTATGAGCAACAACAAAATAAGGCACTCAACTAAAATATCCAACTATCGCAGCTTTCTAGTCACATGGTCGACAAAGCTCACATATTTCTTTTCAGCTTGCTTGTCTCTGAAACTCAACCCACAGTCATAACTAGGAATTCAAAGAAGTTGGTTATAATGAATCCATCTTTGATGTCTAAAAGATGATTAGTTCACCAAAGCCAAGAAATTTATAAAGGGTCCACCTTCAAAAAACCAAGTTCATCTGGTTTTGCCTGGTTATTTTTTATGTCTTTGCTAATGCTTGGCAGAGTGAATGTGACCACTGGATCAAATGAGGAGAGGTTGATGATGACAGGGATGCACACAGTGGCTGATATATTCTGTGTCGGTTGTGGCTCAATTGTGGGATGGAAATATGTAAGTTCTTTGTTTTTATTTTTGTGAAACATGTAAGTTGATCAATTACTTGATCTAGCGTTGTTGATTGTAGCTGCTGTCGTTGATGTGATTCCTTTATTATGCAGGAGGCTGCCTATGAAAAGAGCCAGAAGTACAAGGAAGGAAAGTTTATTCTTGAGAGGTGATTTTATAGATTTCCTGCAATTCCTAGTTCTCATATTTTCATCACAAGTTTATAGTTAGAATTAATTGCATTGAGCCCCTGTAGTATCATTGTTTTTCACTTACTGCTTAAGTAGTTTCATTTTGGCAAATAGACCCGCTGTTTGAAATTTTATGACTCCGTTACCCGGTGTCAAATTTTGGCAGATATTACCCTCAGGTGAAATTACTGAATCTATCTGGGGATCAAAGAGCCATAAACAATTTCACCTGCGTGGTTTATCTCCCAATATGAATTACAAGGATAGTAAGTCCAGTGATAAGTTCTAGACAGTGATACTATCAGGGGTTCATGTGTGCTATTTACCGTTGTAGCTATTTGAATGTAACAAGCAAAACATAACATGGCGAATTACTTAGCCGAGCTTTTTACCCTTGGTCAGGTTTAAAGTTACTGGTCCTGATGGAAGCCAGTACTCGTTAAGCCATGAATTTCATGTTGGTGGAAGCGATGCTGATGATGTTTGAAATTTACCCGGACAGATCTGATCCAGGGTATAACTGTAAATACATTCCCATCGACGTTCTTGTGTAAGCCTGATGTGGATACATAAGATTCATTCTCTTTAAATACTATATTGTCAACTGCAATATATGGTTGCAAATAAATTGGATTTGCTTGATTAACCTGTTGTGTGTTTTGCCAATGGTAAGGTCGTACAGTAATGCTGAAATAGTAAGATCGTATGCTTTGGAAAAAAAACTACTGTTTGGTAAGATGACAAGGATTAAATTGCTCAACCATTTTTCGTGAATTGTTTAGTTTCCTTTGAGAAAATGGTATGGGTGAGTGTTCATTTTGAACGGATACTTATCACGCGATAATATCTCCTCAGTATCTGTGCACAAATATCAATAACTTAATCTTGAGAGGCGCTACAGTCACACCTTTAAACCACACCCCTAACCACACTCCTCTCTCTCACTACAGTGTATTGGGGTCCACACGAGGATTTTAAAAAGATTCTCATGTGGACCCTAATGCACTATAACGAGAGAGAAGTGTGATTGGAAGTGTGGTTTAAGGGTGTGTCTCCAACATAGGTGACAACCAGTTAGGATGTACAAATAGGAAAGTTAAAAACTATCATTAAAATATTTTTTTTTAAAAATCCTCCCTTGGACAAAACATATGGAGAAGGCACGTTCTGATTAACCTGGTTACTATCGAAAAAAAGCTTCAACTCTTCTAACTTCTTCAACAATTTATTATCATGGTTGCTAATTTTGCTAACCGACAATAACCATAATGAACAAATAAGTCACATCCTGGCTCTTGATCTTCAACCTTGATCTACTCTATTACAAATATTATCTTTCAAAGAAACATGTATAGTTTGTCACATGACTGCCTAGAAAACATGCATCAGTACAAGGGAGGCCAGCTTATTCTTTCTCAACAAAAGTAGACTCAGCAAGATCAATAGCGCGAGCGAGAGCAGCAGCCTTGTTCTCACATTCTCTCTGCTCATCATCTGGATTGCTGTCAGCAACGATTCCCGCTCCAGCTTGGAGATGAGCCACCCATTCCTGGCGCCGATTTATATCCTTGTAAGAGTACATTGTATCATAACGGGTTCGAGTTGGAAATACAATGGTCCTCAGAGCTATGGCAATGTCCATGTCCCCCGAAAATGATACTCCTCCAAATCCACCACTGTAAGGTCCTCGACGTGTTGCTTCCAATTGGTCGATTAATTCCATTGCTTTTACCTGTGAAATAGTGGAAATAACATCAGGGATAACTAAATAAAACATAAATATTTAGATAGAGTTTTTTGTATATATACTCAAATTATGAGTGTTTGCTAAACTATTCTCCAATTCATTAACTTTGGGGAGAAAAAAATATATAGCTCCCCAAATCAACAACTCATCAAAGCTAATTTGTAACTGCAATGTAAATATATCAAGATAGTCAAAGTTTTACTAACCAAGTCCAACAAAGTTGATGACTTGCTATTTCAGGGGGTCTTTTTTCCCCCAAAGTTATGATTTGGGATTTACTAAGATTTTGGGGGTAGTTTTGCGCATAGTCATGATTTAAGGGGTATATACACAAAAGAAAAACCCTTAACAAATATTACAGCATAATTGAAGTTCCATCTTCAACATCCTTGGACATGATTGGATGCATTTTGCAATGTGCTAATGAGATGATAAAGGGATTAACTACAAGAGGTTATACTCGTGCTAACAGTTTTAATGGTAACACAAATATCAAGTTACCTTTCGGAGATGTCCTTTGAAGTATCCTTATTTTGTATTTCAAAATAATGCAGTCGGAATAACTTCATCAGGGGATTCATTTCAAATACAGTTGATACTCATTAAGGATATACATCAGGCATGAAAACAAAATAGGGTTCATTGCGGATAACCCCTTGTAGTAGAGTTGTTTTGAACTTACCACTCCTAGTTTTATTTTTGAGATAGGCCTTCTCAGTGACTTTTTTATTAATCTTTTACCCTCAAAGAAAGAGAGAATTATATATATAGGGAGTCCATATACAAAAGATAAAACTAGAGGGTTACTTAGTTCAAAACAATGATATTAGAGGGGATCGATCCAAAGTTAGCCCAATAAAAAAATACCTTAAGTATCATAAACTGGAATAAGAAAATAGACCAAACCTTTGGAGCTCCGCTTACTGTTCCCACGGGTAATGCAGCACGCAGAGCATCCCAGCAAGTGAGATGATCAAACAACTTTCCAGTCACCTGCAAAACAATAACAAAACTTTGAGCCAAAATGAAACTTGGAATTACACAACACTCATCCAAAGATCCAGACTTTCAATAATTCCAAGAAGATTTTTTGACTATTGTACACTTGCACTCAAATAGATTGTGATATGAAACTCTGAGACCAAGTTGGAAGCAAGAATAGAGCCTGACCGAGGAACTGATGTGCATCACATGGGAATATCTTTCAATGTTCATGAGCTTCTCCACCTTTACAGAACCAGGAGTTGAAACCTGTAGCAATAGAACTTTAGACATGAGCGGAATGGACGAAGGGGAAAAAATTTAAAAAAAGTAGAGAAAAAAAGATTTGACTTAAATCTACTCGCATGATATTAATAAGTCAGAAACAAATGAAGATATATTAAACAAAGCACACCTTTCCCACATCATTACGACCCAAATCTACGAGCATAATGTGTTCTGCACACTGTTTTTCGTCACTCAATAATTCCTTCTCCAGAATCTTATCCTCTTTCTCTGTCCTTCCTCTTCTAACAGTTCCAGCAAGTGGTCGGTTGGTAATCTCTCTCTGTTAACAAAAAAATCCAAATGCAGATTGCAACAAAAGAAGTAAGAGTTAATTTATGTCATTGCATGAGATATTAGTCCGTAAGAATATCGAAACAAAGGAAGAAAGTCCAAAAACTAAATGCATGTGCAAAGATGGAAAAGAAAACTTAAACATAAAAGGCAAACCAAAATAAAGAGTAAATTTATGTTCTGAATTGAGTTAATTATAATGTGACTGGCCTGTAAAAAAAAATATGTTGACAAATTTAAAATATGGCAAACCCTTCTATCTTTCTTTCACAAATAATGACTCTTAGTAAGCTCAATTTTCAGAAATAGTGAAAATTAAATCATTAAAGCGTAAATGCAACGTTACTATAAGAATCTTCCATGTGAAAGCAACAAATCCAAGATAATTTTAATTAAAAGATCCAGAAATAGCGTTTAAGTAAGCCACACGAAGGGCAAAGTAGAATGATTCAACTGATCATGCATTCTTGGATTTAATGCAGCATCAGGTTCCCCACTGTATGAAATTTCATAAACTCCACCATTCATGAAAAAACCATGCAATCTCCTGTTAGTTGATTCTTCTTTTTAATTAAGTTGTTGATAAGTAAAATTTGAAAGGGAAAACAGCTAATATCTAGTGCTTAAAAATTCTGAGATAGATTTCAGAATTCATACATTATTTTGAATTAAATATTTTATATCCAAAAATAAATATTATAATTTCAAAGAAAAAAATATTTCTCCAAATTATGAGTGGTAATTTACACTATTATAGATAATAGTTTCGCAAATGAACCTTGAGTAGATTATAATTTCACATGTTTTAATAATAACATTAAATGTTACTCAAGTCATGTGAGGTAATTTCCTAGATTTTCAACTTATCCTTAATAAGTTCCTTGCATGCTTATTTACCATATTCCTAAATGAAGAAGCAGTCTACAAGCAATAAAAAGAACAGCAGTTGGGAACTTCATCAATGATGAATGCAGAAGTTCACCCCGGGTAACTATTCCAATATCATCTGACAAAAAATTAATGCGCATGCTGAAAAAGAATTAGAAACAACAATGTAACTACTCTCTTTTTCCTACATTTCAAGGTCAGGTCTGAACTTAAAACCCCGGTAGGTATTAGCGATAAAAGCAACATGAGGACATTATCTGTCCTTGATCTATATATATGGAAGCATTAGGACCCAAAAAAACACTAATACTATAAAGCAATTATCAGAGTTACGAAAAAGATATAAGGTCCTCCTCTATATCAAAAAATTTTACTAAGAAACAAGAAACAACTTCAAAAGTCTTCACCCCTCACTAGCAGAACTTAAACTAAAGGCCCTTTTTCCAGCAGTTTGAAATAAAGACTGCACCACTTCTTAGGAATTTATGATAGCTACTGTTTATGACATCTGTATAATTATAAGCTCAATATGGCCAATGAGAACGATTGCATTTTCCTCTGGGGAGGGGAAAACGGCAGTTAAAGCCTAACGGTTCAACATTTCCTTGGTAAAAAAGATGCAACTGATACGTCAATTACTTAATTAATATCTGAATCATGCCTATCTTATATCTGAATCATGCCTATCAAAAGAAAACAACCAAAGAGCTAGCAATAAATTTGAAACCTGGGACATCAAAAGAACATCATGAGTGCAAATATAAACCTGATTTATTAAGTAGTGCGAGATAAGAGTGACTGAAGAACTTTCACTACTACATTGAAGTGTAAATAAATAAATAAATGACTAACCCTTTTAACGCGCGTAAGAATTTCAGGACTCGATGATACAAGAATGCATCCCCGTGCCTGGTTAGTGATCAGAATTAAAAGTGGACAGAAATCAGAAACTAAGTGGAAAACAAGGACTAATATGATGCACGAACAAAAAGATATGCTCCAAAACCAAACCAAAACTATGAAACTTGGCAGACAGCAGACTCACTTGTAAGTAAGTCATATATGGACTTGGATTAACAATTCTTAATGCTCGATAGACTTCAAACGGGTCAGCAAATGTACGTCTTTCAAACCGCTGGCTCAAGACGATTTGAAATATATCTCCTGCAAGGATATGTTCTTTGGCCTGCAATACAGCTTTTTTGTATTCTTCACTTGTCATTGTTGACGTCTTTAACGACGTCCCAAACTGACGGGTATGTAATTTCACTGATCCAGCTGATAACTTTGGGCTGAAAGAGGAAAGAGAATACAATTATCATAAGTAATTTTAAGAACACACTATTAGGACGTAATGCTTACATATCTACATTATGGACCATAGCTAGCAATCGCTCCAGTCCGTTCTTCCCATCTTGATAGGCATCTTCAACAGAAGAGAATCTATCTAGGCGCACCCAGTGAATCACGTATGCTTTCTAAGGATGAAAAATATAAAAATCTTCCATAAGATTTTCTATTGAAATTAGGAAATTCACAGAAGGGTTTAAATTGTTAAAGATGAGAGCATCACCACAACAAATCAATAATAAACTCCCACACAAGAGAAACTACAACAAAATAACACAACTAAGCAAACAGCATATTTATAATTTCTTACTATAGTAATGAGGCATTTGAGGTTGATAACACTAACTATGCTACAAACATATCCATAGAACACAACAAAACTTTGGTAGGACAAAGTTGTCCATAGTTTCATCTTCATCAGACTACAAAATACAAACAATTTCAATTAAGGTGTCCAAAGCCAGTGTTGCAGCTAGATACTCCCAGCAAGATCATACTTGTAATAAACTTTTTCAGCTTTAAATATTGATTAAATTTGCTATAAACAATTAACGAGTTCTTACTTTAATGCGTAGAAGATCACCGACCTTCGTGTGTCAGAAACTTGAAAGGGAATTCGAGGCCAATTAACAGTTTTCTCTATTTCACATCCTCTTCAATCATGAAGTTGGAACTGAAAGTGCACAGATCTGAAAATTACAAGGATCTTATGTCCTGTATTTTGGCCCCAAGACGCAAAGGGAAACACATCCCATTTTCATACCTCAAGACTATCTAAACCAACTGAAGGTGTTAATCCCATGGAATTAGTTGCATTTTTTCCCCTCATTTCAATACCTCTGAAGCACGATAATTTATTCCTAAGCAATATGATCTTAAACACATAGATTTATATAACTAATTAAATTTAAGTTTAATAGAATAAGAACTTATGTTGAGTTAATTAAATCAGCTTAACTACTAAAAAGGCCTGATCTCACTGAACAACCTTCTAAGCTATACAAAATGCAATTTACTATCTGAAGGTGCTTACGCCAGTCTTGTCGCTCACCGAATGATAACCTCTTGTAAAGTCTTGCTAAATGCTGAAGGCCTTCTAAACTTGGAGCTATGCTCCTTAGGTGATATCACTTGTTTGCAAAAGGATTTTTCAATTATGAGGATAAAATAAAGATAAGAAATATATTTCAGATACGTATTAGACTTATTTACTCAAAATGGCCTTGTAACAGGTCTTCACAATGGTTTCCTGTTCCCATTGTGCTTTTTCTTTTCTTTTCTTTTTCCCTTTTTTCTTCTTTTTCTTTTTTAAACTTCCTAACCTATTATATGCAGCAAACTTTCTCTCAACCAAAACTTCTCCTGTCATACTCCTCTAGACACCACCAGTGTCCATCATATCTAACACTCACAAATGCGCACACCATTATTGACCTTCAAACATATGCCATATGAAGTATGTGTGCTCCCTTTTCACAAAAGCTAACCGTTATATAGATCAAATTCTAAATTCTTAGATATCAATGAATATCCAACACACATATGGATATGGTCAAATATACACATATTCCTAATAAAAACATTTATAGTTGTGTTGTCATGTTGAGATTTCGATAATGTCATGTCCACCACCCCTTGTTCCTGCCAGGGAACGATACTTTTTTTTGTGTGTATGAATAGTTCCTAAATAATAATAAAATATACTCATTTAGAGAAGAATGTTTGTTGGCCCCTTTATGCTCACAACCCTTCACTTACCAAGCGAATCATTTCAAAAAGTTACTTGAAAAGAAATTAGAAAACACCAACTTAAAAACAGTAGAGTACAGGGAGTAGAGCTCCAAACCTGAATTCCTAAAACAGTATACATAATAAAAACATCTTATCCCTTTAAAAATCTCAACTTAAATTAGTCAGGGTAAAAGAATGATACCTTCTCCACATGATCAAACACTATGACATTATTGTAGAGTCCTAAGTGGACGTCTGGAAGGTCCCTGTCATCTCCTGGAGCAGTGGAGAATGGTAACTTCTTCTTCTCCACGTAACGAACAGTGTCATATGAAAAATAACCAATCCAGCCGCCTAAAAAGAAAAGTTTGCATTCATATATTCAAATATTCAAGAAAAACTTTAATAACCGAAATGCTTTGGAGTATTTTAAATTTAATTCATATCAGATAACAATATAGCAGCTACGAATCATCATTCAAATCAATTAATGAATAATGAACAGAATTCCTAAGCATTATAATCAGATCGCTATCCTAAAACAGATTCTCAAAAGATGCCTACAGTTTTCATAGATGCAATGGCTACAAGGTTCTCCGTAAATCATAGTTATAAATTCTTCCAAGGCTTGCAGTTACTGGAACTGTTAGATAGTTTTTTTTTAAGCTTGTGGGCCCCACCACAAGTGACCTTAACCTAACTTGTTAAAAATTAATCACAATGTGAGTTTTATTTTTCTTCAGCGGTGCCAAACTCAAAGAAAAATTAGGACGTGGGCCCCACATCTAACCCTAACCCTAACCCTAACCTATGGTAGATCAGAATATTGTTTTAAGATTGTTGGCGTCTGTGGTTAAATTTGGAATAATACAGATATAAAGCAGCAAAAACTAAAAAGAAAGCTGAAGTGCAGTAATTTAAAATTTTCAACTCAGCTGTTGTGCTTTTGTAAAACGTTGTGCTTAAAACAATATTTGGCCTACTCTGATGCAAGGATCCCAAGACCAAATTGCTTCCAGGAACAGTACTCTGGTATGCAGTACTGTCAAAATCTCATCGATCTATAGGACCTCTCTGTCAATACAACGATCTCCTCGATCTATAAGACCTTCTCGGTCAAGGCAACGATCCCCTCAATCTATAAGACCTTCTCGGTCCAGACAATGTTCCTATGAGCACCAGCTATATTTTACAACATATATATCTGTATATATTGGTTGTTTTTGGAATGAATTTTTCTTAAGAGTTTGGGATCTATTTATAACGTTGGGGAAAATACTATGTACTAATAAAATAATATTATTTTACTATGCATGTGGGGCCCACGTCCTAATTTTTCTTCGAGTTTGGCACCGCTGAAGAAAAATAAAACTCATGTTGTGATTAATTTTCAACAAGTTAGGCTAAGATCACTTGTGGTGGGGCCCACAAGCTTTAAAAAAACTATCTAACAATCTCTCACAAGTTTTTTTATTTTAAATTAGTGTCGTGTTATGGTGTCGTCGTTTCAATCGTTATGCATAAGGTAGATGTCGTAAGGACTTGAATCCCCCTTAGACCAACTGAATAAAAGATAGGTGCATGGTGTCGCAGAGACTTTAACCAGCACATGTCTAAAAATACAACGATCACACAAGATCAAACTCATATGTGGTAGTTTTCACTTTGAACCACACTTGTCTTTGCTTTTGCCTTTGCCTTGTCTTTGCCTTTGCACATTTATGACCATGTGCATGTCTTGATTTCTGCTAGAACTCTAGGTATCTTTTCACAAGACACCATAGGCGACGGTCAAATCTTCACTCATGCATAAGTGAGTTCTTTAGGCATGTTTCCTATCAAACATCATGCATCCGAAATGCTTTCAACTCATTAGGCTTAGAGTCATCCTCTCTCATGATAGGATTCCTCGTGAAAAGATCAAAGATTTATCCAAATAGTTCAGCCAGGTAAGGATAGTACTAGAGGGGGATCAAAGATCAATTAAGTACCCCGTTCATTGTGGAGCGCGTTACGCAATCCCTAAACCTTGCTTTAGACACCGACTAATCCAAGAAAACTTGAACCCCCCTTAGGATTTTACTTGTAAATCTTACTTGACCTTTGAATCATTTATCTTGTCATTAGTAGCATAAGCTTTGAACTAATAACTACATGTAAATAGTAAGTATTTGTAAGACTCACTAAAGTTTGTAAATCTTACTTGACTTTTGAATCAATTATATTATCATTAGTAGCATACGCTTTGAACTAAAAACTTGATATAAATGGTAAGTATTTGTAAGACTTACAAAATTTTGAGACTCATTCCAGCAGGCGTCCTTTCGACTATATCCTTTTTCAGACCCTTAGTCGAAGGATCAGCCACATTCTCTGAAGATCGGACGTCAATCACAGAGATGACTCCTTGACAGATGAGCTCTCTCAAATAGTCATGTTTCAGACGAATGGTCTGCTTCTTTTCATTGAACATGGAGTTCACTACCACAACACTCGCCGCTTGATTATCATAATAAATAGTAATTGCGCCTTACAATTCTGTCAATGGAAGGTCTCGGAGAAAACTGAGCCATTCAGCTTCATCTTCTGCAGCACAGAGTGCGAAAAACTCAGATTTCATCAATGACTGTGCAATCATTGTCTGCTTCTTAGACTTTCACGAGACGAACAAATCCTCCAGTAGATCTGTACTCATCTGGTTCTGAGCACCAGCTCGCATCTGAATAGCCTTCGATTACAGCCGGATATCCAGTGTAGAATAGGCACAGACCTGCTTTCAAGTATCTTATCAATATCTGAACAGCATCCCAATGAAGCTTTCTAGTATTACTTGTGAGCCTACTAAGCATTCCTACAGCGAATGCAATGTCTAGCCTTGTGCAGCTCATCGCGTACATGAGACTCCTAATGATCTTTGAATACCTCAGCTGCTCTACTGGTCTTCTAGTGTTTAGTCGAAGCTTCTTGTTGTAATCGTATGGCACTGATAGTTCTGACAAGTCGTTGTAGCCATACTTCCTTAGCATGCTCTCGACATAATGAGATTAGGACAGTCCAATACCCTTTTTAGAGTATATGATTTTGATTCCGAGAATCATGTCCGTAGTTCCAAGATCCTTCATGCTGAACTGTGCTGATAAAAAAAATTTGGTAGATATTATTATCTCCAAATCACTCTCAATGATGAGCATATCATCCACATAAAGACAGAAGACCACCACTTTTCCTTTAGCGATCTTTGATGATAGGTACTTGTCAGATTCACTGACTTGATACCTATTGTTGCGAACAATCCCATCAAACTTCTCATGCCAGAGTTTTGGTGTCTGCTTAAGTCCATATAAAGACTTAACAAGTTTACAAACCTTACCAGCTGGAGCATCAAGTTTTCTGGTTTCTCCATGTAGATCTCTATTGTGAGATCTTCATTGAGAAAGACCGTCTTCACATCCATCTGATGTATGACGAACCTTTTAATCGCCGTCCATGTGATAAGCACTCTGATGGTAGTGATCCTGCAAACTGGTGCATAAATATCAAAGAAGTCTATACCTTTTTTCTGAGAGAATCCTTTCGTTACCAGTTTTGCTTTATACTTTTTAATAGTACCATCAGGATAAAACTTCTTCTTGAAGATCCACTTGCAACTGATAGGCCTTGCACCTTCAGGTATATTCACCAACTCCTAAGTATGATTTTGGATCAATGTATCCATTTCATCCTCTATAGCTTCTTTTCATAGAAGTGCGTCTGTTGACTGCATTGCTTATTGGAAAGTCTTTAGGTCTCCTTCCACATTATAGATGATGAAATCATCTCCAAAATCTTTTTATATCCTGACACACTTGGATGGTGTTTCAGTAACTTCTTCATCATTAGCACTTTCGATTTCTCACGAAACTGGTTCCTCTTGCGCATCCGACGTACTAGCATTCACTACTATATCTTTGAGCAATAAGCTTTTATTTTTGATAAACTTATCCTCAAAGAATTCTGCATCTCGAGCTTCAATGATGGAGTTGATTCCGAGGTCCAGAAACCTACAATTGCTATCTTTAACGAAGCCAAAAACACACATTTATTAGCCTTTGGTCCGAGCTTAGGCCTTCTGATATCTGAAATTCGAACATATACAAGACACCCTCATACTTTGAGATTATCCAAAGGGTCTGGATATCCCAACCATAATTGATGAGGAGTCCTATCAGTTTTGGAGTAGGATACTCTGTTTAGAATCCAGTTTGCCATCAGCAAAGCCTCTCCCCAATATTAGGTAGATAAACAAGATGTGATTAGCATCGAATTCACCATCTCGATTAATGTGCGATTTTTCCTTTCTGTAATCCCATTAGATTGCGGAGAATACGGAACAGTAGTTTTAGCAAAGATTTCATGCTCCTTGAAGTATGCTTTCGACTCCTTAGATCGGTACTCTCCTCCTCTGTCGCTCCTGAGTCTTTTCACCTGCAGTCCAAGCTGCTTCTCTACTCGAGTCTGAAACTCGACAAATTTACTGAATGTTTCATCTTTAGATTTCAGCAGGTAAACGTGACAGAAGCGAGAATGATCGTCAATAAATATGATGAAGTACTTCTTGCCGCCACGAGTGACGAAGCTCTTGAAGTCACAAGTATCTGAATGAATCAGATCCAACAGGTTGGTGCTCCTCGTGACACTTGAAAATGACTTCCTCGTCAGCTTTGCTTACGCGCAAACTTCACAATTCACATTTCTCAGATTTGTTACCCCCATATTTTAAAAATAATCCTAACTTCTCCATGCTAGATAATTTTCTATAATTTACATGTCCTAGCCTATTATGCCATAATACAATGGAGTAAGCAGAAAATGATACTTTATTTACAACCAAGTTGGGTGTAATAGTAATGGTCTTATACATGCCATCAGTACGATATGTATTGCCAAAATACATTTTTTAAAGGATAATACAGTCTTACCTCCTTGAAAATTCAGCCTCATACTCGCATCACATAGCAGGCTTCCAGAGACTAAGTTTTTAACAATTGAGGGAACATGTTTCACATCCTTCAATGCGAGTCTTTCCTGAAGAGAGTTAGCACCACAGTCCCAGTTTCAAGAATAGGAACCACAGAACGATCAACCATTAATATGTTCTCTTTGGCAATAACATAAAAAGAGAACAAATCTCTATTGGAGCAAACATGATAAGTAGCACCTGTATCTAACCACCAATCAGAGCTATTGCTGTTAGGAGTTGTTACCTGGAAGATCACAGTCATACAATCATCAACTTGATTGACATTATGTGTAGTTTCTTTCTTTGGTGCTTTGCAATCCTTGGCAAAATGTCCTTACTTCCCACAATTAAAACATTTGTCGTTCTTTTTAAACTCCTTCTGAACGTTCAGGTTCTTTGAATTCTGGTTCTTCCTTTTGTTAAAGAACTTCTTCTTATTGAAAGATGAATTATTACCTTTCTCAAAGTTAGCAACCACTATGTTAGCAGACGCCTTCTGCTTAGGGATGAGCTCATTTTTCGTGCGAGTCCGAGTCTCGTCCTCGATCCGAATGAATCTTTTCAAATCAGACAGAGTCACATGTCTTTTTCTTCTTGGAATATCAGTGGAGAATAACATCCAAGATGGAAAAAGCTTGTTGACAATTGCACCGGAAATGAAGGTTTGACAAAGACTGATTTTTTCATCTTTCAGCTTCATAACAAGTTTTTCAAACTCTTTGACTTGAGGCAAAACCTCAGTGTCGTCTTCGAACTTGAAATTTAGAAACTTATCGATAAGGTGAGATTTGGACAGCTTCTCATCATCCTTGTACTGGTACTCCAGAGCATTCTAAATTTCTTTTGCAGAGGGTTTGTTGGTGTAAGCATCTGCTAGATGATCGGTCAGGCAGTTAATAAGATAACTCCTGCAGAAGTGATCATCTCTAACCCAAGAGGCTTCAGACTCAGAATCTTCTTCAGAGTCGGGTTTCTCCTCAGAGACCACATAGTAGATTTTCAAGAGTTGCATCCCGAAGATCACTTTCAGACGTCATGCGTTGAAGTTAGAATCGTCAAAGTTCTCTAACTTAAGATAGTCCACTCTAAAAATCCTTGCAGGATCCATGGTAGATCAGAATATTGCTTTAAGATTGTTGGCGTCTGTGGTTAAATCTGGAATAATACAGATTTAACCACAAACGCCAACAGGAACAACCTTACAAATCCTTCTCACATGAAACAATAACATCACCAAGGACAACTAATCCACAAAGGCATCCAGTGATCATAGTACTAAGATTTCTATAGAAAGATATTCAATGATCATAATACTTCAAGAATAGTCGGTCATGAGGAGTTGAGTTACTTGAGTAGATGGTGAAAATTTATATTCTTCTTATGCCTCACAAGTAATATTTGACTTATATCAGAACTCAAAAAATGGAAATTAGTCCATGAATGTCTCACTGGCACAAAGAACTAATTATAGGGAACAGGGTTTGAAGCTCAGGAAATATCAAAATCCAGATATTACAACATGAGGTAATATCCATACGCTCCCGTCTGTGAATGGACAGATATAATTAATCAAATTTCTATCATCAACAAGCAAAATGGCGGTTAGTAAAAGGTTATAAAGTTCATGCTAGTTTCCGACATCCCATCAACAGAAACTTCCAAGAAAATTTATCATGTCCGTCTCTTGCAACACTACGGCTCCTCAAGATGAGCATCATTATATTGAGATATACGTTAGGGACACAAATCAAGCATAATGTAGAGTTTGATTGAGCTCTATTCATACTGATCATAGCTTGTGAAAACATCTATCAACAGTTCCAAGTTCTCTAACTATGCTACTCAGTAATGAGATAGAGTTTGCTGTGACCAATTTTTGACCATGAGAGAACCATTTTAAACATAAAGCTCAACCAAATTTCATTGATGACTTCTTATAATCCAATTTGCAGAATCTAATGTTCATGTGGATTCTCTTCTATCTTATAATCGATAACTCTAAACAGGGATAAATGAGACCACAAGGTGAGGTACCACAAAAGACGTCAGGAAGCTCATCAAGGCACTGTGGGCTCCATCCTTCAGTGATTCTCTGCGGAATTTTCATGGGATCATCAACAATCTCTTCGGTCCTGTGTCCTTCCTCGTGATCCATGACCGACACCAAATTCTCCTTCGCCACAATCTCCATTGCTGGTTGAGCTCCAACAAAGCTGTATCGACCCTGAAAACAGTTCCTCAATGCAAGTTGAAGAGGTTAAACAAAATCAAGTTGCATGTTTTTTGTTCTTACAACATTAGTTCCACGAGAACCCTGCTCAACAGACTCGCAGAGAAAGCTGGGGGCTTCACGGTCATCCTCTCGAACAAGGCAGCGGTAGGCCAACACCGGAGTGAGATGATCGGAGAAGATACATCGGTAAAGAGGCACTAGGTTCCCTTTCTTTGATGCCTCAATGAACTTGGTCTTCTCATCTTTCTCAGTAACTACACACAGAAATTAAATCAAACACTTAACAGGCAGCATGCTGAACATTCATAGGGTTAATTCACAAATCCTCATGAACTTTTGGATGTTTCGCAGAACACCCTAAAGTTTAAAATTTTCTAAAATGACCCCCCACCCCCCTTCAAAAGAAAAAACTAAAACATATTGAGGAAAAAAAATCCAGAGGTAGTGCTTTGTCATTTACAGGCAACATACACTAGTTGCAAGAGAGATTTTTCCCCCTTCCAGAGACATTTTAGTTATTTGTCAATTAACAGTATGGAGTCCAATGTGAAAAGTTTCAAACTTTTAGGGGGCTATGAAATTAACTAATAGTAGTAAGTAGGCACCTGAGGTGGCGGCGCATTTGAAGGACGGCGGCGGTGCAAGAGTAGAAGAGCAGAGGCGGC